CCAGGCCCAACCCTGGAGCCCCTCTCTGCTCCGTGGCCATGGGCTTGAGTTCTGGGACCGCAGCAGCCTCCACGGCGAGGGGCCGTCAAGGTCAGGGTTGTCTTTGTCCCTCCGCGTCCCCTCTGAGCCTCACCCCTGCTGTGGATCTAGAAAAGCAGAGGGCTGCCCCCCAAGGAGCCCCGGCCAGCACGTGGCTGCTGGGTGAACGGGTAAGTGCGGCCTCGCTCTGGGAACCGCACAGCCGGAAAGGTGGTTGCTCACAGGACTCACACACACACACACACACTCTCACACACACTCACACACACCCACACACTCACACACACACACTCCCCCACACGAACACACACTCTCACACACACTCACACACACTCACACACACACACTCACACACACACTCACACACACTACAGTAGCTAGTCTGGTTCTGGCAAATTTCACTTGTTTTCTTCACCCTTTCAGTCTGAAGATGTGAGATACTAGGTAACCAATGAAGCCTAATTCTTAGTGTGCAAGGCAGAGATGAGAGCAGGGATAAGTTCCTACCCTATCACACACTCACATACACTCTCTCTCTCACATACACACACACACACACACACACACACACACACACACACACACACACACGATGACTCTGCTGAAGTGCAGAAGGCAGGACCCCTGGCGATGCTCCTGGGAGCCGAGGGCCTGCAGGTGTGGGAGGTGCCCATGACCCTGGGTCCGGGCCTGGAGAAGGCTCCTTGGCCCTCGGAGCTGTGTGCAGTGGGGCCCAGTGGCACCCCGGTGTCACTCCCAGGAGGTGCTGGGTCTGGCCTGTCCTAGGCAGTGCCCCCACCTCGAGCCTTCGGTCCCCCTCAGGGAAGAGCAGGGGGAGCGGGGTCCCACGGTTTTTCTGTGCCGTGTCCAGAGAGGGAAAGGAAGGTCCCAGGGACACACAGAAACCTGCCCCGGGCCCTCCCCTCCAGCCTGCACTGGAGCCCAGGCACTGAGTGAAGCTGGGTCCTCACGCGCCCTCCCCCACCCCAGGGCCCAGGACCCTGTCCGGCATCTCCTGGCCCAGCGAGCGGCTCCGGCCCTCCCCCTGCTACTACCCGCTGTGCTCCGAGGGCCCGGCCTCCCCCAGCAGCTCCG